GGGGGGGGGGGGGGGGGGGGGGAATACAAGTGGCTTAAGATGTTTGAACATCACAGGGTGTGTATGCATGCGTGTGTGTGTGTGCGTGTGTGTGTGTGCGTGTGTGTGTGTGTGTGTGTGTGTGTGTGTGTGTGTGTGTGTGTGTTTGTGTGTGTGTGTGTGTGTGTGTGTGTGTGTGTGTGTGTGTGAAGTCAGAATTATTAACCCAGCTGATTATTTTTCCCCAATTTCTGTTTGTTCAACACATTTCCAAACATAAGTTTTCTTAACTCATTTCTAATAACTGATTTCTTTTATCTTTGCCATTATGACAGTAAATAATATTTTACTAGATATTTTCAAGACACTTCTATAGTTTAAAGTGACATTTAAAGGCTTAACTAGTTTAATTAGGCAAGGTATTGTATAATGATTGTTTGTTCTGTAGACTATTGAAAGAATGTAGCTTAAGGGGTCTAAAATTTTTGACCTTAAGATGGATTTAAAACAATTAAAAACAGCTTTTATTGTAGCTGAAATAAATCAAATAATACTTTCTCCACAAGAAAAAATATTATCAGACATCATTTGGGAAATATTTAAAAAGAAAAAAAAAAAAACCAATGTTCAGGGGGCCTAATAATTCTTACTTCAACTGTGTGTGTGTGTGTGTGTGTGTGTGTGTGTGTGTATACACACACAGGAAGGTCGCTGGTTCGACCCTCGGCTCAGTTGGGATTTCTGTGTGGAGTTTGCATGTTCTCCCTGCGTTCGCATGGGTTTCCTCCGGGTTCTCTGGTTTTCCCCACAGTCCAAAGATATGCGGCACAGGTGAATTGGGTAGGCTAAATTGTCCATAGTGTATAAGTGTGTGTGTGAATGTGTGTGCTGATGTTTCTCAGAGATGGGTTGCAGCTGGAAGGGCATCCGCTGCATAAAAATGTGCTGGATAAGTTGGCGGTTCATTCCGCTGTGGCGACCCCAGATTAGTAAAGGGACTAAGCCAACAAGAAAATAAATATATAAAAAAAAGTGTATATTTTATATATATATATATATATATATATATATAAAATATACACTTTTTTTTATATATTTATTTTCTTGTTGGCTTAGTCCCTTTACTAATCTGGGGTCGCCACAGCGGAATGAACCGCCAACTTATCCAGCACATTTTTATGCAGCGGATGCCCTTCCAGCTGCAACCCATCTCTGAGAAACATCAGCACACACATTCACACACACACTTATACACTATGGACAATTTAGCCTACCCAATTCACCTGTGCCGCATATCTTTGGACTGTGGGGAAAACCAGAGAACCCGGAGGAAACCCATGCGAACGCAGGGAGAACATGCAAACTCCACACAGAAATCCCAACTGAGCCGAGGGTCGAACCAGCGACCTTCCTGTGTGTGTATACACACACACACACACACACACACACACACACACAGTTGAAGTAAGAATTATTAGGCCCCCTGAACATTGGTTTTTTTTTTTTTCTTTTTAAATATTTCCCAAATGATGTCTGATAATATTTTTTCTTGTGGAGAAAGTATTATTTGATTTATTTCAGCTACAATAAAAGCTGTTTTTAATTGTTTTAAATCCATCTTAAGGTCAAAAATTTTAGACCCCTTAAGCTACATTCTTTCAATAGTCTACAGAACAAACAATCATTATACAATACCTTGCCTAATTAAACTAGTTAAGCCTTTAAATGTCACTTTAAACTATAGAAGTGTCTTGAAAATATCTAGTAAAATATTATTTACTGTCATAATGGCAAAGATAAAAGAAATCAGTTATTAGAAATGAGTTAAGAAAACTTATGTTTGGAAATGTGTTGAACAAACAGAAATTGGGGAAAAATAATCAGCTGGGTTAATAATTCTGACTTCACACACACACACACACACACACACACACACACACACACACAAACACACACACACACACACACACACACACACACACACACACACACACGCACACACACACACGCACACACACACACGCATGCATACACACCCTGTGATGTTCAAACATTTTAAGCCACTTGTATTCCCCCCCCCCCCCCCCCCAAAAAAGGTTTAAAGTAAGTTATTATTTGTATGTTTTCTGTTGCGTGTCAGTTTGAAATTTTTATTTACATTTATGAACAGTATTTTATCACACACACATACATATCATAACGGTTAAAAGTTACATGAAACACAACTAATCTAACGAACTGCCAGGTGATGTGGCATTCATGTTTTCTCATCCATAAACACCCACGTAAATGATTAAAACTGACAAACAGCTTTTAACATTACTATCTATCGTTCCTCCCCTTCAACCCGATTTCACCAAGTAGGACATGTTTCTGGTTTAACATTTAGAACATTCTAATCAAAATTAATGTATACGTTTACCGTTTATGTAAAGTTTAGGCTTATGGTTAGATTTATGCACTTCTACATGATTGTTATCCAATTATTCCCCTCTGATTTTGGCAATATACTTTACAGTTATGGTTGGGTTTATGAATTACATTTCGAACCAAAATGATGTTCAAGAATCAACATAGATGTTCCAGGATCGCATAGTATTTGGCAAAATCATGACGTGTTGTCCTTCCAGCACATTAATTCAAAACTAAAATATTTACTAGAAGACTTGAAGGGTTTCTACTGACTAAAAGGTTGTAAGAGCTTGTTCGGTTCATAAAATAAAATGCATTTGTAAGATTATTTATAATTAATGTGATGATGAACGCACAAAGCACCATGATTAACTGCATCAACATTAACGTTACTAGCAAACTGGCTAATGTTCCAACCAGTACAAACAGAATCTTCCCTCTAAACGCAATATTTCTGTCACGTGATGACACACAAAACACGTACAAACCAAACCGTTGCTCAATCTTCGACGTGCTTCGCAGGCAAGTGTAAGAAGCGCGTCTCCGTGCACTATATTCTGTCTGCGTGTTTGTTAAAGAACCTGCCAGCTAACAATAACAATAAAAACAGGTTCGGCAGCTGCGCTAAAACAGCGGGAAGAAAGACACTATGGAAATCTGCACGTTCAAAATAAAAGTCATAAACGCATATTTACGGCACCAGTTATATAAAAAGTAATAAACAAATATTGATGTACTATTTATATAACATAAATACTATACTTTTAAGAAATGTTCATAAGTTTAAGATGTGCAGCAGCAATGAACAGAATTTCAGCAAGGAAATATTAAGAAAAGCTCAA